CCCCACCCCTGCCGCCCCCCCTCCCCCCCTGCAGGCAGCCAGCCACACACCACAGCAGCCCCCAGTAGGACACCGTGAGACTGGAGGGTCTCTGGAGGCTGCACAGCACCCAGACCCTAGGACAGGAATCGGGGTGCTGCAGGAGGGCAGCACCACTGCACTCAGAGAATGGATAAACTTTGTCATCACTTCACACACGCAGAGTGCACCTCAGCTTCGTTCCTCCCCTCTCATCTCCCACTGATGCCGAACACTTTGCATGCAAAGGGCCAGCACGGCTAAGAGCACGCTGAGACTTACCCTGGCAAGCTGAGCCTCACTTTCAATGGCGTTGTGCAGCCGGACAATTCCCACATACTCTTTGCCTGAAAGGACGACAAGAGCAGTCAGGAGCGGCCACTTGCACTTCATGTTCACCTCAACGCCCTCACTGCTTCACAGCCACAGAGCCCTGAGATTTTCACCACCACCCCTCCTAGGAAGTGCACGCAGTTTGTTATATAAGAGTTGTCTATTCTTCCAACAAAATTAATCTGGGCTACATTCATTTCTTCACCAAGTTTTACTTCACTGGACTGGCAGAGGCTGAGGCCCCAAGTTCAGTTAGTACACAAAACCAGGCTGTCAGAAGCGTTTTCACCAACTTCAAACAGCACAAGCCCCAGACAAGCAATCAAAAAACACTTGTGACAGCATGGACACGCCCTCACTGGCTCAAAGCAAAAAGGACAAGCAACCCTTAAGCTCAGGGCACTCAAGACCAAGGGTAGCCCTTGCAAAGCCTGGAAATCTCCATTTCGTCTCCAAAAGAACTCCACACCTCCCCAGTCACTTAGACTGTAAATGGTCCCAGGCAACAAACATACCTGCGCTCTGCTGAGATTTGACCAGCCGCGTTGCCCTCTCAATGCACACAATGAGGCACCCAGTCACCTTAGGATCCAGAGTGCCACTGTGTCCAGTCTTCTCCACTCGAAGGATGCGTCTGATCCATGCAACCACCTCGTGGGAAGATGGATTGGAAGGTTTGTCGAGGTTAATAAAGCCAGACCTATAGCACAAGATGACAGAGGGTGGGAGCTAAGCATCAGGGCAAACACAGCAAGAGCACAAAAACTTTGACAATATCTGTCATGGCTGCGGAGAAATGTATTTCTATGCAACCAAAAAGGCGATAAGCCTCAAGGCTTGCTCTCAGCAAGCACGCCTCGAGCTGCTCTGCGCACAGCAGGTGAATATACGCCATGGATAAAGAATTCTCTTCTCCCCACACTGCTCAGCGCTACCCTGCACTTAAACCAAACCAAATGCTACAAACCAACTCCAAGCAGTCTCAAAACCTAGCGGCCAAAGGACTTTCCCTAACACCCCACATAATCCCCAAAGCATTTGCATGTCCGTCCACAGACCGGCCACAACCCCAGAACAAAACAAACTTTACAGCAAGTGACCAGCAGCATCTCTTCAGACATTTACGGGTTAGCAGCCAGCCACAGAGTCAAACAGAAAGGGAACAAGGGAAATCCAGAACAGGAAATGTTGTGAAGGTATCAACTGTGAAAGAAGACATAAACCATTCTGGCCCTTACTGCACTCACCGAACATAGTCAGAAATCTCTCTCTTCAGGGGGTTAGCACCGGAAGGAAGAGGTGTGTAGTGTGCTGTCATCACATTTAATTTGTCAAAGTTCTACAAAATCCAAGCAAAGGTTACAAGTGTTCTTGAGCTCACCTTGGCTGCAGCATCGCTTCGCCCCAGTACATCTCCCAGTTACACAACGCCTGATGTGCACACCGAAGCAGAATAGCCTCTTCCAAAACGAAAGTGACCCAACAACAAAACCACAACGGTGTTTTAGAGAAAGAAACAGAAGGCCTGTGCTGAAAGACATGGGAAAGCAGCAGGATACCAGTCTTTCAAGGCAGGACAAATCCAGCGTGCCCCAGAAACTCAGCACAAGCAACTCAGAAGTCTACACAGGCCACTGCCAGATGGTAACAAATATCTGAAGAAACCCGGTGGCGTCTTTACAGGAAGTGGGAAACTTAGAAAGCAGGCACGCAAGCGGTACTGCTGGACAACCTTTCTAAAGTGGTTTCTGCAGGCAGAGGGTTGGCCTCAGCTTTGAGCGCCACGCACGCTGTTTCTTAGCACGCAGCAGGCTTCCGCAGAGGAGCTGTGCACCTCCTCGGGCCTGCACTGAGAGAGGACCGAA